CTCTATTTATCTCTCTGAAGGAAGAGAGATTAGATCTAGTGCTTGCATTCTACAAACATTATAAGCCTAAGGATTCCATATGAATTAGAATTTGGTATTTCCATTTGGGTGAAATAGAAGAACATTGTATTATCTCTTAGGATTCTAGGGATCATCGGAAGAAAGTTGAGAAAGGGCCTTGATGCTCTTGAGGGTAGTGACTGAAGGAGGAAAAGAAACATTCATTTCACGACTTGTGAGTGGAGGTTCATGTGTAGAAGTGGGCGTGGTGGACTGGGCAGTTGTCAGTAGGAGGAGGCAAGAGCAGGGCCAGGACTAGGATGAGGCTACTTGAGATCACCAGGTGGAAGCTTAGGTCTCTGGGCTTCCATCTAAAGGGGTTGTACTTTAGGCCATCTCAGATAGGGTACATGATTTAAGGCGCTATCACCCTTAGGCTATTCAAATGCTTGCATACTGCTTGATAGTGTCTCCTTCACCTTTATATTCTAGGCTCATTCTCGCTTTGACCTAGAGTTAAGCATCTGTCAGGGTGGTAAGCAGTCAGGGAGAACAGGATGGCTCTGAATGCTAGGCAGAGGAGAGATGAGAGAGATGAGGCCCATTTGGTGTGGATCTACTCTGTATGAGAGCAGAGCTGGTCTCAGCAGCCCTGATGTCCTGTTGTCACCAGCAATGCACAGCTACACCAGCTCCAGCTAGAATATAAATCAAGGGGACTCAGGCTGCTGGGCTGCCTTCCTCCGGACATGAGGCTTTTGGAGAGGGACAAGAGCCAGTGAGAAGCCCTAACTGATATACCAACTGGGTGGCAGAGAAGTCATTCTTTGTCTTGTTTTTATTTGTGACTTTCTAATCCTAGGGGAAATTGTCATTGGAGAGTAAATGTGGATTTAATGATCCTCTCTTGCAAGGGAATTTCTACCCACCCCCATTTTTTAAAAAGAAATACTTATTGAATACACACCATGGTAATTATTAATGATTCTCGGAAGATTTGTAGGACTGCAGTTTTGGGGGGCTCTCTTCATGGTTGATGGAGCCATGTAATACTGGAGAAATGAATGGTTTACAGCCAGAGTGAGTACTGACAACCCAAAACCCTCTAAAGCTTACTCTCTATTCATTGTGACAAGGGACATTTCAGATGGAGGCTACTCTTTTGGCTTTAATTCATGCATGCGTGCATGTGTGTATGTTCACATATTGTGCACATATGCATGCTCATATGCACATGTGGAGGCTGGGGGTTGATATTGGATGTTTTTCTCTCTCTCTCCTCAGTTTATTTTTTGACACAGGGTCTCTCCCTGAGCCTGAAGCTCACTGCTTCAGCTAGGCTGGCTGAGCAGCAACCCCTTGGGATCCTCTTGTTTCCACCTTTTGAGTGCAGGAATTACAGTCAGGAGCTGCATGGGTGCTGAGAATCCAAACTTGGATGTTCATGCTTGTATAGCAACTAGTTCATTTACTGAGCCTCCTCCCCAGCCCAGCTTGAAGTCTTAATTGAGGATATGTGGAAAGAATGCTGTAGTTTGGCTTCCTGTGGACTCAAAGCATTAATAAGAAATAAACCTTTATTGTATAAGCCAATAAGGATTCTTGGTTGTTTCCTATTGCAACACAGCCTGCTGTGAAGCACAAACCCCTGTGTTCCAGCCTGTTTTGGATGCTGCAGACACTGTGTCTCACTCCAGCATCCTCTGGGGCACCATTAGGTCATGCAACAGCCAATGAAATAGGACTCTCTTGTCTATTTATTTGATTCTTCTGGTTCTGGGGACCAAACCTAAGGTCTCATGCATACTAAATAAGCCCTCTTAGCATGTAGAGCACCATTAAGCTGTAGTTCTCTTTTTCCACTACCCCCCCCCCCCCAAAGACACTCTCTCTCTCTCTCTCTCTCTCTCTCTGTAGCCCTGGCTGTTCTGGAACTCACTCTATAGACCAGGCTGGCCTTGAACTCATTGATCCTCCTGCCTCTGCTACTGTGGCGTTGGAGCAAGGGGGATGGGATTCCAGCCAGTAAAAACACACGATGCTCACCATGTGTTGCATCTTTTGAATAACACTTTCCAGATTTCTATAAGTCCCTGAATAATTTCTAAGACTTTGGAAGACTTGATTCTAATTCTCTCCCCCTCCCCCCAGTTGTCTTATGCATTTATGGATGAGAAAATTTTTCCTTTCGGTTTCATAGACATCACCAGGGACTATTTGAAATGCCCTTTTTTGATAGTTGCCATCTTTTTTTCCCCCTCAAAATTCAGTACAAATGTCTCCTTCTTTGAGAAGATCTCTCTGGGTCCTCTGGGTAAAAGAATCAACTATTCCCCCACTCTCCGATGCTTCTATGCCCATACCATTGTAATTTCACTTTTCACAATTGATAGTTATTTTTATCGGTTCCTGTCCTAGTCTATGAACTTCAAGCCTGTGACTTATTTGACGCTACCCCCCCCCCCTCATACCCAGGCTCATTGATGACATACAGTAGGTGGTCAAGTCTGTGGGCTGAAGAGTACTGCTCTAGGAGTCTCCAGTGACTCTAGGGAGTCTCATTTCTGACCACCAGTTCCTTCCTCGTGTCTATAAATCATGGAGCTCTGTCTCTTCATCTTTGCATGTGGAATCACCGAATGCACGAGGAAAAGAAGTGAAAAGTGGCAGCACAGCCGGCACGGGAGAAGCCCAGCAGTCATAACGGTGGGGTAGGCAAGACTTAGAGAGCTGGGGGAGCCCCAGACAGGCATCTCACAGTTTTCAGTGATGGGATTTCAGGAAGTGATACTCAAACTGCTTGTCTCTACCACCCAGGCCAGATGTGGTGGCCCACACCTTTGATCTCAGCACTCATGAGTTCAAGACTAGCTTGGTCTAAACAAAGAGTGGCCATTCATCCAGAACTACATCCCTTAAAAAGCCAAGAAAAAGGGAAACCAGATGAGCAGCTGGGTCCTTAAGCTGGCCACAAACCTAGATGGTAGACTGATGGCAGTAAATACAATTAGTGGGGTCTTTCCGACCCCAAGTTAGCAAAGTCTAGAAGAAAAACACAGGTAAGTGTAGGGATAAGTCCCGCCCCTTAAGGGGCGTGTTCGCCTCGGGCTAATGTCTGCCTATAAATTTGGCGAGCGTGCTCCGAGCTGTCGCTTCTGTTTTCCTGGTCTCCGCGGCAATGGTGGTTCTGTAAGTCTATTTCTACATTAAAACTATATATATATTTTTACAATCTGTCTGCATTCGTTTACGCCGCTACAGGTAAGAGCACAGTGAGGGGCTGGAGAGACGGCTCAGTGGTTAAGGGTGCTGGCTGCTCTTGCAGAGGACTCCAGTTCCGTTCCAAGCACCCACACTGTGCTTGTAATTCCAGCTCCAGAGGCTCTGATGCCCCTTTCTGGCCTCCGATGGCACCTGCCTACAGGAAGCATTCACTTACACAGATGCATATGAGTGCATAAATCTTTTTTTTTTTTTTTTTTTTTTTTTTTTGGTTTTTCGAGACAGGGTTTCTCTGTGGCTTTGGAGCCTGTCCCGGAACTAGCTCTGTAGACCAGGCTGGTCTCGAACTCACAGAGATCCGCCTACCTCTGCCTCCCGAGTGCTGGGATTAAAGGCGTGCGCCACCATCGCCCGGCTTGAGTGCATAAATCTTAAAAAGAAAGATAAACAGTTAGTTGTCTCCTACCTCAAATATTCATCCCTAGCTTGCAGACTCACAAACAGCTGTTAACTTGCTGTAAAGTTTAAAGCGAGGGTAATAAAATACAGCTAATTTGCTTCCTTGGCTGGCTCAAGGCAATGGAACAGAGGCCCACAGCATTCTGGGCAGAATGAAGTCTTCACCCTGTTTCAACAAAAGCCTTGACTAGCGAAGGTTCAGGACTATCAGTTCTTTGTTCTGCTCCTGGTTTGCCAGCTTCAGCCTTTGCTGTAAGGTGTGCTGTCTTTTCCCTGAACTCTGGCTTAACTCCCTGAGCTGTGCTTGTGGTCTTCATTTGGTTGGTTGAGGAAGGTGCTCTAGGGTAGGTGTCCTTAACCTTAGGTCATCTCCCCCAAGAACTCTTCCCTATGGTTTTCTGGCCACCATAATGCCATTAGTCTAAGCTAGATGCTAGAGAGAGTTTTATATTCAATAGCTCAACCCTGCAAGGTGAGCACTATGACTCTTCTTTCCCAGGGAGACTGACTGGGGCAAGTGGGAAAACCATATTCAAGAAAAGTTTGACTCTTAAAGCCTGAACTATAGATATAGAATTGGTGCATCCGAGGGAACTTGAGAAGCAGACTGGAAGAGAGGAAACCATGCCAGTCCTTCCTTGCCTGGCAATCCTCTGCTTCTTCAAAGAAACATGGCCCCCAGGTGTGTCCAGGCCCAGCCTGGGATCAGCTACATTACCTTGAACTTTGAAACAAGATAGCACCAAGGGACCACTCCTGGATCCCAGGGGTGAACAGGGCAGGGAGGTCTCATTTGTTAGCAAACAGGCGAGAGGTGCGCCATGGCTGAGAGCGGGGTGACAGAGATTCCTCATCATCACCTGTCAGCCCCGACATGGTGATAGCCTCAGACTGAGTTAAAGGCCAGCTTCTTCCAGAACTCAGAAGCATTTCCACAGATGCTAATATCACTCTCTCTTGTCCAACCCTCTCAGCCAGAAGGGGGAATTGTGCTAGCATGTATGAGACACATATTTTGGGCACAAGGGACCTGATTGCTAAGCAACAATAGTTCTGCCCCCAATCCATTTTTTTTTCTGTTTCCAAGCTTCCAGTTAGCAGATAGGAGGGGCTGGGGCTGCCAGGCCCAGCCCAGCCCTTGCCCCGATTCTCTACAACAAGGGACCTATTCATGAGACCTGAGCATAGTTCATTGTCTCCCTGGCGCGTGTCTATGTGTGTAGGGGTGGGAGACAAGGGAAGGGGCCGTGTGTGAACCAGAGAGACTTCATCCTCCAACCACGCTGGCTGGGTTGTTGAATCAACCCCAACATGAGGACAAGAGCCGCGCCTTGCCCAGCTGACCTTACAGCCTTCCATCAATGCAACTGAGTCACAGGGTAAGGCTGTGCCCCATGCTAGCCCTCCATTCTTGCTCACACTCCCCTTCCCAGGACTAGACCAGTAGAAGAGCCTCCTCTGGCAGCTCTGGTGAAGGGATTGCATCCTAACAGGGGCTGAGGAGCTAGAGTTTTCTCCAGAGACCGCCTTCTGTTTTCTTCTCTTCCAGTCCCTGCTCTGGGCTGGTGACACTGTTTACCCTTGGCTATGCCAAACAAAGCATTAAATTGCCTCCTCCTTAGAACACCAAAGGGGTGTCTTCCCATGGAAGGCCTGTGTTTTCAGGCTACCGCGTGGGTTTGGGCAGGTGCATTTTGAGGTAGGTCGGTGCCTGAGTAAGGTGATTTGTTCAGAGGTTGGCCTTGGAGCCTAGCTTCTGGGATACTGAGACAAGAGGAAAGACTGGGTCTGCCTCAGAGTCCTTTTTATAATGGACCCTGGCTCTCTGACTGGACAGGGTATCCACTCAAGAGGAACTAAATCCTTAGAGAAGAAACACACATGCCTATGACCACTTCCCTACTTTTGTTTTGGCTTTCCCAAGCCTGCTGTCCTTGGCTCTCATCTCTGGGCACAGATGGAGTATGTGTGTTAGGACACACACTGTGAGCTATGCTTCTTCAGGATAAGTATGGCCCGCCACTGGTGGGAGGCCCGACTGTGTGTGGGGAGATGGGCTGGTATCTCACTGTGCAGGAAGGGTTTGGAGTCTGCCCTGTGTGCTACCTGAACTGTCTTGGGGGCTTACTGGCAGGCTGGGGAAACCTCTTTTGTACAGTTTGGGGGTGTGCACTGGGTGAGGCTGACAGGCTTTCCTTTTATAGATGTAAGGTGAGGAAAACAAATTTAGCCAGCCACAAAGGCAGGATCTGGGAGATGTTCTGTTAACACAGGAAAAGCACACCTAAGATAATGCAGTTTTGGAGTCAGTGGTTCAGGCTTCTGCTATCACTTGGGACAATCCAGTGTGTCAAGAGGGAAAGGTAACGTGCAAGTAGGAATCACTACAGTTTGGGGTGTGTGTGTGTGTGTGAGTGTGTCTGTGTTCATGTGTGCATTCATACGTACACATGTGTAGGTCATAGGACAACTCCAATTGTCATTCCTCAGGTGCTACCCATCTTGATTCTTTTTTCTTATCTATCTATCTATCTATCTATCTATCTATCTATCTATCTATCTATCTTCTATCTATCTATCTATCTATCAATCATCTATCTATCATTTATCTATCTATCTATCTATCTATCAATCATTTATTTATTTATTTAGTTTCTGAGACAAGGTCTTTTGCTGGCCTGGAATTTATTGATCGACTAGGCTAGCTGGTCATCAAGCCCCAGAGATCTACCTATCTTTGGGGTTAAAATCTTATGCTACCAGGCCCTGGGTTTACATGGGTTTTGGGGATAGAATGTGAACTCTCCTGAGGCACGGAAGCACTTCGTTGATTGAGCTGTCTTGCTATCTTTCCAGACTTCTTCTTTGTCTTTTTTTTTAAGCCTTGTGATCCTCCTGTTCCACTTCCTGAGTGTTGAGACTACAAGCATGCACCATCACGCTCAGCTAGAGTCCAATTTCAGGATGTTGGATTGGATTGCAAATTCCTCAAGGAAGAATTTACAGCTTATATGTATTTCTTATTGATATTATTATAACTAACAGGTAGCTCGTGTTTTATAATTTATTAAGCCAATTGAGCCACATTATTTTCCTCTCTCCCTCCCTCCTTTCTCTCCCCTTCCCTCGTTCCCTTCCTTCCTTTCTTCTTTATCCTTTTGTTCTTTTTTGTTTTCTTGGGATAGGCTTTCTCTGTGCAGCCTTGGCTGTCCTGTAATGGGGACCAATTATTGTCAGCCAATGACCTTTAAGAGTTTGGACCAGGTTAGGGCGTGACCTTTTGGGTACCCAGAGAAAACCGTCGGTCCACCCAGGGCTTGCGCTCTCTCTCTCTCTCTCTCTCTCTCTCTCTCTCTCTCCCTCTTCTTCTCTCTTCCTCTCTCTCTCTCTCTCTCTCTCTCTTTCTCTCTCTCTCTCTCTCTCGTTCCTGCGCTACACAGCTGAGTTAGACTTCTCGTCCCTGTTTCATGAGTTTGCCCCTCATAATAAAGAAAATATAATTGGAATTTTTGGAATTAGCCTGGAATTCTTTGACCTGCGTCCACACCCATGAACAGCCCTGGAACTCGCTCTGTAGACCAGGCTGGCCTTGAACTCAGAGATCCACCTGCCTCTGCCTCCCGAAAGCTGGGATTAAAGGCATGTGCCACCACCACCCAGCTTCCTTCCTTATGTTTGTGCACTTTACACTTTATTTATTTAATAATAGTATTGCTATTTTGTGTCAGTCCCTGGAATACATAGACCGGTACAGAAGTGAGAAAGAAGTGAGGTCCATATAGGTCAATGATAAGTTCTCTCTAGTTAAGGGTGCTCGCTGGAGAAACGAAGGGTCAGTAGGAGACAGCTGTGCAGGTGGGAGCAGCAGACACAAAGCCTCTGCAGTGGGAGAGTGCCTGAAGATGCTGAGGAAGACACAGTGTGTTGGAGTGAGCTTTGCCGGCAGTGAGGATGGAGAGATGAGGAAGAGTAAGATCAAAGAAGCCCAGAAGCTATGGAACGAAAGCTTTATCTCGATGTGGAGGCTGCAAAGATCACTGGGCACTTTCAAGACTGGACCACCATGCTCATAGCTGCTCTGGCTTGGTAACATGGAGAATAATGGCTAGGCCAGTGTTCCAACTCCTTTCTGTGGGTTGGGCTGTCTCCCACCTTTTTATCCGTTGTAGCTAGAGGACATTTGGGGAGGGGGAATTTGCTCATTAGGAAGTAGGAATTAGCACTCTTATTTTATGAATGATAAGATTGAAGTTTGGAGTGATGGTCTGAGTTATTCAAGCCCACAGGGTAGGCTGTAGACTTCATTGTGGACTGTTTGGTGATCTTATTTCACCTCGCATCATGGGTCAAGAGCTTCGGGCACACATGTGAGCTGTTCTGCTCTTTGCTTTCTCACCACCCTGTCTTTGCTTCACCAGCATCCTTTGCCTGGACTACACAATGCTTGATAGAAACCCATCAGCTCCGACCCTACTCACCCAAGAGGTCACTGCTTTAGAAACTTCCCCTTCTAGGTGTCTTCCTTGATTTTCTTAGTGAGATCACCTCTTAATTTTTGAATGTTGTTGGGTGCTTTAGTCAAATTCTTTTTGGTCATTTGACATGGGCTATGACTTTCCTTAAGGGACAAGGCTGAGAATCCCTTGATAAATTCCAGGCCATGCTGATTTATCCTGAATTCCCTGTAGCATCTCCTATGCTGTCTTATACACTTGGGCCAAATACTTTTGGGGAACGAATGGTGTGTGTGTGCCCTCTTTTCCCGAGGTAGAAAGGAATGAAGGTGCCTAGGGTGGGATGTTGACAGACCTCAGGGGGTGCCCTTTTGATCCCCATGGGAGGTAGGAACAGGGCACAGATAATGAAGAACATGGCTTTGGAATGGAGCAAGTCTGGATTCCAGTTTTCCCTTTGCTATTGCAGTCACATGAGAGTGAAGCAGAAAGGGTTAGGGACCCAAGGAGAGCCGAAAAGGCCTGGGTGAGATTCTCCAAGGTGAATAGAGACTTCCAGTTAGCCTCAGGGGCAGGACCAAGGTTAGAAGCTGGAACTTAGTGAGAGTGGGTCTTCTTTTGGCAGCCCTGGATTTCCAACAACTCTTTCTTCAGAGTCCAACACTGGATGACCTAGGCCCAATGGAGGTTCGGTACACAGAAGAGGGTCCTGGACTTGGGATCTTCAGAACAGAGTTGGGAGACCGGCGGCAACCCAGTAGGTCACATGGGGCCATTTGGAAGGGGCAGGATGGGGTCAGCAAAGGATGTTCTTCCTCTATCCCTTATACTCTTTTAGGGTCAATGTGAGGATGACGAACATGTTCTTCTTTATCCCCTACTTGTTCTACTTCCCACTTCAGGACCAAGTGGGAGCTGGGCTTCAGGGCCCAGATCCTTTACCACTTGGAGCCCAAGGGGCAGGGGTGAACTTCTGTTAGAACTTACTAGTGCCTCGCGGTGCAGGAAAGCTTGCAGACAGAAGCAGGAAACTCAGGCAACTCTCTGCTTTCTTCCTAGTCTCCCAGTCCCAGCGCTGGTGCTGCCTGCAGCGTGGCTGTGCCATTCTGGGAGCCCTGGGGCTGCTGGCTGGAGCAGGGGTCGGCTCATGGCTCCTAGGTCAGTGTTGGGCCCTTTTGTCTGGAGAGGGGTGGAGGACAGGATCTGGGGGCAGCATGGAGACAGAGCAGATGCTGAACAGGCACTGTATGTAGATGAGCATGAGAGAGCTCCTCTCTCATCTGTGCTGTGTAGACAGCAAGACAGAGAAATGGTTACCCATGGAACAGGACAGACTCAGAGAGAACAGTTTGGTCCTACAATCCTGCTACTTGTGTGGATAATCCATGGTTTTAGTCAATTTTCTTTTCCCTAGAAATTGTTACTAGTGAGATAGAGACAGACAGACAAATAGAAGCACAGGATAGTCTGACACAGTCCTGTGCCCCTTACAGATTGATTGGGGTCCATCTATAGGCAATGTGACTGATAGGGACTCTCTAGGAGGTAGGCCTACCTCTACTGCAGTACTGACTTGCTAGACAACTTGAACCCCTCTAGGGGTTTCCCTCGCTACCCCCAGCCTCTCTGTGACTCTCTTTGCATTTCCCTCAAGTACTGTATCTATGGCCAGTTGCCTCTCCCCCCATCTCCGGGATCTTGCAGGAGGAGGAGATGAATCTGAGCTGTCCAGGAGTCAGCAGGGAGGAAGAGCTTCTCTCATCGCTTCCCAAAACAGGTGGGCCACCCCTTCAAAGCCACAGGAACCGGCCCTTCCCCTAGCTTCAGGACCGAAATGAAGGACTAGCACTTTGCTACCACCCGTCTGTCTCTTCTCCTGGGATGAGGGTGCTGACCAGGCCCATCTAGCAGCATTGATCTCCGATTTAGGATTTGGAAGCATCCCTGAGGAGGGTTCTGATCTTTAGTTGGGGCGTGGTGAGGAGGTCAGGCCGGTAGAAGAGATGGAAGCTTGTCATTTAGGGTAGCATGAGGTAGTAGTATCAGGGAAAAGGAGCTGGTATGGGGTGGCTGTGTGTGAACAACAGAGTCACCTGGATATCTGGGGACATCATTCCATATTGTCCTTTGGCTATCCCCACTGTCCCCTCTTCTAGGGAAGAGTTGGGGGTCACACAGTATAATGCTGCCCAAAGGCTGGAGGTTGGAAAAAGTTCTAACTTTTAGTTAGACGAAGGCTGGGTTTTCTTATTTTTTGCTAGATGCATGGCCTGTGGTACATTATTTCTTTGAGCTTTCATTTCTTTCTATACACAATGGAAATGAAATAAAAGTATTTACTGCATGAAGTTGGAGTACTAAAGCGAGCAAATATACAAAAGAAGCTACTCTGAGCCTTTGCGTTAGTCAGCTGGCCTGCCATAAGAAACACTACAGATGGGGAAAGGGTGCATATTTATTCTCACAGTCTGGATGCTAGAAGTACAGTAATTTGGTTCCTGGTAAGGGCTCTCTTCCTGGCTCCCCATAGTATGCACCACCATGTCTTCTGTTTTCTGAGGGCAGGGGAGGAAAGAATGAAAGAGCTGGAATCTTCTGGGAGGATGCTGAACCTACTGGACCAACATGCCATGACCTCATTTCATTTTTTTAATTTTTTTTTTTTGAGTTAAGAATCTAGCATCTCTAAGCTAGTCTCTAACTCAGTATGTAACCAAAGAGAGCTTGAGCACGGCCTTCTCCTGCTTCCACCTCCGGAGTGTAGGGATTAGCTCCACCATGGCCAGTTTATGCACTGGACATCAAGCCTAGAGCTATGTGCATGCTAGGCAAGCGCTGTATAACCAAGCTGCAGAGCAAAGCCCCTGTATCACCTTCTTCAAGGCTCTGTCTCCAAACACAGTTACACTGAGGGATTGGCATTTCTGCCTGGGAAGAGAGAGAGAGAGAGTGTGTATGTGAAAAATTCCACCTGTAACAACATGGACAAAAAGCAGTTGATAAATATTAACTATTATCATCAACAATATTTGAATTCAGGAGACTCGACTTAAGTCCTGGATGCATCCCTTATTGATCCTATGATCTTGGGCAAATTGCCTTCACCTCTGTTGAGGGTGGTAAACTGCCTTCTGGTAAGGCTGTCGCCATGGAGTGTGACAGAATACCCCTATTTATTTCCTTTATGTGTGCGTGCACATGTATATGCATATATACCATCTCATGAATGTCAGGGTTAGAGAACAATTTATTGGTTCTCTTTCTATCAGGTGGGTCCTGGGGACTCAGCCCCGGGCTGTCAAGTGCCTTTGCCTGCTGAGTCATCTCACTGGCTTCGGAGCATATTTTAAAACTCGTGATGGAAACACGGAACCAGAAACATGGGCAGAAAGATGTGACGTGGTGTTTTGTACTGACTGGACACCCAGAGGAGCAGGGAAGCTGACCTGGGGTGATCCATGTGTTCAGCTTTTCTTGTCTCATCTCACCTTGGCTGCAGGAGGGTTTTCACACTGTGGTTTCAGTATCTTTCAGAATCATGGGCGAGGATCTCCTGCTTGAAGTGCAAACAAGGGCTCGGCCAGACTGGCTCCTGGTCTGCTATGAGGGCTGGAACCCTGCCCTGGGGATGCGCATTTGCCAGAGTCTTGGGCACCTCAGGTAACAGCCAGACTTGCAGGGCTGGCTGGTGGGGGGACTGGAGTGGGGAGTGTGGATCGCAGAAGTCACCATCATGGTCTTGCTTGTCCACAATGCTGGCACGGCTCATGCACGGTCTGGTTCTGACCTCCTGACTCCCTCCTGTTTTCTCTCCTCTGCCAAGGCTCGCTCAGCACAAGGCAGTGAATCTGTCTGACATCAAGCTCACCAGATCCCGGGAGTTCGCTCAGCTGTCTGCTAGACCGGGAGGTCTCCTCCAGGAGGCATGGCAGCCCAGGTAGGGCGCTGTGGGTTAGGTGAGCAGTACGCAGTCTAGGCAGGTCTTCCTGCAGGGGAGCCCGATGGTGGGGGCATGGGCAGTGTAAAGAGACCAGAGAAGGCCGTTTGCCAGGCTTAACCACAAACCCAGGACACACGCTCTGCCACACAGTATTTATCTCACACAAGAAATGCGAGGCTATGGGCTGGGCATGTAGCTCTTGTCTCACCCCACCCTGGCGTCGAGCTTGCTTGTTGGAGAGTGCTTGCCTAACACACACAAAGCCCTGGGTTCAATCCCTAGTACCGTATAAACTGTGTGGTGTTGTTGCTTGAGTTCTAAGCAAGAGTAGAGGCAGGAGGATCAGCAAAGTCAGGCACGACTGTCTACAGAGTCAGTCAGGAGAACTGTCTCAAAACTGAACCAACCAACCAACAAAAAACCCCAAGGTTGTTAGTTACTGGAACAGGGTTTAGAATGGTCCTCCTAGTCTCCCTGTGTTAACTTTACATTGCTGTGGCCAAACACACAAGAAAGGCAACGTAGAGGAAGAAAGACCTACTTGGTTCACAGCTGTGAATGGTTCAGCCAATTGCTGCTTGGCCTCGTGCTAGGACAGAGCATCACGGAGAAGATATTAGGCTCTACTGCTTGAAATTTCCAGAATTTCTAAAAGTAGTGCCACGGGGTGAGGACCAGGTGCTCTGCCCATGAGCTTTTTTTGTGGGGGGGGGCTGTCATTTTGTGTTCAAATCGTAATTCACTTTTACAGGTAGGGAAGTTGAGGTGCAGTGGGGTTAAAGAGTGTTATCCGGGGCAGTATGACCAGTAACTAGCCAACACACATTTGGGGCCAGGCTCATGACACCAACCAAGTCAAGGGACCTGTGTGGCTGACCTTTGCTTGGATAATTCTGGTATCTGAGGAAAAAATCAAATAGTGTCCAAAAGAAAGGAACTCAAAATGAACCAAGCCTCTTACCATACCCTAGGCAGCACAAGCTGAGAGGTCTTTGCCCAGCCTGGTGTCCTTCAAACTGCCTGAAGCCTTGGGAACGGGGGCAGGCAGAGGCGCCATCCCTGCTCTGAAGCTGTGTTGGTCCTACCCACCTGAACATTCTCCCAAACCCCAGAGCCATTCTTAGGAATGCACTGGAGACTGAGTGACCCCAGCTGTCCCTTTCTCTCTGAGACTTCTCCAGGAGGGTGGAAGGGCTACAGGGTTAGGAAAATAGAAACCAAGTAGACCATGGATTGGGCAGCTGAAAGGAGGAGAGAAGGGCAAGATGAGAGTGTTGGGTCAAAAGGGAGTTGAGGCTTGCTAGAACAAGATCGTGACTCTGCAGGCCCTAGATCAAGAGCTGGGACTGAGAAGAGGCTGGGCCTGGAAGAAGCCTGGGGTAGGGCTGGACTCACTCATTCACGCTGTGGTCAATCACTCACCCACTGAGCACCTGTTTACTCAGCGACTGGGAAACAGCTGGGCTTTCTCAGCCGTCAGTTCTCTGTTGTAAATATGGACCTTTTCCAAACAGATCTTCTAGGATTGTGTTTTTTTGTTGTTGTTGTTTGTTTTTTCGAGACAGGGTTTCTCTGTGGCTTTGGAGCCTGTCCTGGAACTAGCTCTGTAGACCAGGCTGGTCTCGAACTCACAGAGATCCGCCTGCCTCTGCCTCCCGAGTGCTGGGATTAAAGGCGTGCGCCACCATTGTGAAGGCTTTCTGTTTCCCTCTGGTGGCTGGGGCAGAATGGGCAGGCTCCTGCTGTGGGAGGGGCCTGAGAGTTTGTGAGGGGTGGGAAGAAAATGGTGACAAAGGGAGCGTTTTAAGGTTGGGACTACTGAGACCTATGGAGGCAGGAGGGCGTGGCAGGGCGTACCTGTAATCCTAGTACTTGGGAAGCTGTGGCAAGATCAGTACACAGTCTTCCTTGGCTGCAGAGTGAGTTAGGGGTCTAGCCTGGGTCACATGATACACTATCTCAAGAAGACAAAACGAAACTGTGGAGAATCCCCTGACCACTCCCCATACCCTTGGTGTGCATGGCCTTTGGGTGGCACTGCCTACTTCTTAGGGACACCCTTGTTTTGCAGCGCTAGCTGTCCTTCTGGCCGAATTGTTTCTCTCAAATGTTCTGGTGAGTCATACCCTGTGTCCAGGAAGTTGGCAATGGGAGGAAGGGAGGCTTCTGGTTCTCCCAAGTGTGGAAGAGCTGTAGGGAGGGGCTTGCTCAGGTTTCTGTGTATGTACCTGTGAGCTGGGTTGGAGTGTCCTTGCCTACCGGCCTATTTTTCTGCTGGACTCCTTGATAGAACCTGCCCAAATAAAGTCCTTTTGAGTCTCTGTCGTGTATGCTACCAGCCCCTGTGCTGGGCTAATGGTCACTACTGCCACCCTGCGCCTTCCTTCTGAAGGGCCCGATAGGTGGAATTACTACTGACTGTGGATGTACAAGCTCTACCAGCAGCTTCAAGAGACTAAGGGTGGGTAGTGGACTAGAGCCAAATGATAAACAGCTTACAGGGTTCCTTCACCGACGTGCCCACGCATCTGTCTGTCTATTTATCAGTCCCTTCTCACACCTGGACACCAGTGGGTGGGCATTAGAGCTCCATAGACACTGCAGACCTGGTCGCTGCTCTCAGCAGGTGCAAAGGCTGAAGTAATCAATACACTCATTCTTGTCCCCCTACTTAGAATCAGAAATAACACATGAGGACTGTCTACCCAGGCTCTCTGCACCCAGCCCTTTCTCTGTCTAGCCTACCCTTTTCTGTTGGCAGAGTGTGGGGCAAGACCTCTGGCTTCTCGAATAGTTGGCGGTCAGGCGGTGGCTTCTGGGCGCTGGCCATGGCAAGCGAGTGTGATGCTTGGCTCCCGGCACACATGCGGGGCCTCTGTGCTGGCACCCCACTGGGTAGTGACTGCTGCCCACTGCATATACAGGTAAGTCTTGGGAGTGAGAGAGGTGAGTCGGTCACCTATTAGTTTGTCTCTTGCTGTGTCCTGGATACTATATCTGTGTCCACGGTCTCCAAGGAGGCAAGGGTGAGGTGCTTGTTTAGTGCCAAGTTCAGTTCTGCATGAGGAGCAGTAATAATACAAAGACTGGTTCTTTATATCTCCTCTCCTCCATGTGTGTATGCACGTTCCCTTGTATGTGTACATGTGTACATATGTGTGTGTGTATGTGTGAGTGCTTGCATGCATGCTCGTTTGTGGGCATGGGTGGTGTCAGGTATCTTCTTCAACTACTCTCTCCTGTCTATCTTGAGGCAGCATCTCCCGTTTCTCACTGAACCCAGAGCTAGCACATTTGGCTAGTCTGGCTAGCCACCTTGCTCTGGGGATTTGTCTCCAGTTTCTGTGCTGAGATTTCCAGTGGGCTGACATGCTCACTCAGCTTTTAAATGGGTTCTGGGGATTAGAACTCAGTCCTCATGATTCCAAAGTGAACACCTTTCTAACGGAACCATTTCCCCAGTTCCCTTCCATTCCATTTTGCATTGACAAAATTCTGTGCTTCTGAGCAGTGTCCTTTTCCCTTTAGACTGGAAGCCGTACTGGGGCAGAGATGATCAGTCTGTTTCACTACTGAGTCCCTTTCTAGGTTTCTTTGTTGCCACATCTTCAGGGCCTAGAGCAGTTCCTTGAATATGATAGGCACGCAATAAAGGTTCTGTGGAGGTGGAGGTGAACGGGTGGTGAATGAGTGAGGTTTGGTGGTAGGTATGGCAGACAATCTGATCTCCACTTTACAGTCTGGTGGAGGGATGGGTGTCCCTCAGGATTTCACATAAGTTGAGAGAGAGTACTATGGGAAGTCGTGGTGTCAAAAAAGGTTTTTCACACTTGCTATAAAATTTGGATGGAAATTATGCAGGAGAGAGTGGTGGCCAATAATCTCTCTCTGTCTCTGTCTCTGTCTCTCTCTCTCTGTGTGCATGTGTGTGTGTGCATGCATACTTGTGGGTATGTATGAGCTTGTGCATGTACATGTGGAGGCTACAGATCAATGTCAAGTGACTCCCTCAGTTGCTTTCCACCTTATACATTGTAAGGCTTATCTTTAATTATGTGTCTGTGTGGGTGTGTGGGTAAGCCAGCAAGCTCCAGGGATCTGCCTGTCTCTGCTTCTCTAGTGTTAGATTATAGACATATGGTGCTATGCCTGGCTTATGTGAGGGTTGGGGATTTGAACTCAGAACCTCATGCTTGTCTGGGGAAAGCGCTTTGCTGACTGAACTATCTTTCATCCCAGTGTCTTGCCAGCTGGCCGGGATAATATTAAGAGGCATGGTGTTTGGGTCCCGGAAACTCACAGGCTTGTGACAGTGGCCACACTAATGGTTTCCCTCAAGAGTCCCCTCCACCCACCATCTTCCCTGCCTTTTCCTCCCTGGGTTCAGGAGGTTTCTGTGTTCAGTTTCAGGCTGTCCCGCCTGTCCAGCTGGCGGGTGCATGCAGGCTTGGTCAGCCACAGTGCCGTCCGACAACAGCAGGGAGCAATGGTGGAGAAGATCATTCCTCACCCTCTGTACAGCGCCCAGAACCATGACTATGATGTGGCTCTCCTGCAGCTCCGGACTCCGCTCAACTTCTCAGGTGAGACTCTGGCCTTGGAACGAGCAGGCTGGGTGCAGTGGTGACCAAGAAACAGAGCCCGGTGGGAGGAGGGGCAAGCTGATCCCTAAGGCTTCCTGTAGTGTTGCCAATCTTATGTCCTTCAGTTCACTGGGGATCATAGGGTGTGTACCTTCTGAAACTGAATTACAATAACACTTGTAAGGCTCTCTGAGGTCAAATATTCAGGCCCTTTTCATAGTGGGGCTGCATAGAGGGGATTTGCTTTGAGGTTCCAAGCAGAACCTCACTTGTGCCTTCTCCTCCAATAGCTGGCTTCACTCTTGTTTCCAGACTGGACCCAGGTTCAGCCATTTTGTGATACATTAGAGAAAAGAGATTTCTTATTTATTTAAATCTTTTTTTTCCCTCAATCCTCGTAACAACTGTGATGAAGGAAATATAATAAGACAAGACCATAGACGTTTAGAAAAGGACAAATAGATCCCAAGCTGAAGTCTTGATTCCAGGACCAGGGTTCCTCCTGCTGCAGTACTTGTCCATCAAGGGTGGCCATGCCTGGACTGTGGCTGACCCACCAGCTATGTATGCTCAGATGCCCCTTCTCAAAAGCCACATAAGTGCATAGAAACATGCACACATGCATGCACTCACAGTCCTGTGTGCACATATGCATGCATTCACATACACAACTCTGTAATTTGAAAACAAACCAGTAATAAAGTACTAGGTTGCCAGAGCCTTCTGTAGAAGTTACAGAGCCCGGGCCTGCTTCTTCTGGTTAGATGGGAGACTGAGAGCATTATAAGAGGCATGGATTAGCACCAAACGGGGTCTTTCTCCTGATGCAGACAGAGGGAAGTATGTTCATGTTGTGGAATGTCAGAATGCTACATAGAAACATATTAGGTTCCATTCATATTATACGTCACACACTTCCTGAAATAGAGTCCCAAGAAGGATGAGGCACTCTGGAGAAAGGGACAAATGGGTCTTGTTAGAGTTTCGTTTCCAGTACCAGAAGGATTCCCATTCTCCCTTTAGGCCCCTAGGTTGGGGTAGAGTAGCAAATACGCTGCTCTCTTCTCCATAGGTTCTGGGGCTCCATACCTTCACCCCCAAGGTGGGATGTTGCTCAAGATATTTATTTGTCTAGTAAGCTTGGTGGTAGAGGCCAGGTCCCAGGCTTCTTGAGAAGGGGATGAGGAGAGAAGCCCAGCCTGAGCCAGGACCTGAACTTTGTGCCTCTCCACAGACACTGTGGGCGCTGTGTGCTTGCCGGCCAAAGAGCAGCAGTTTCCAAGAGGGTCGCAGTGCTGGGTGTCTGGCTGGGGCCACACCGACCCCAGCCATAGTAAGTGAGCTCCCAGGGCCCTCAGTATAAGATAGGGAGGGAGGTATTCTCTAAGCTGGGCATTTCCCCTTCCCTTGGTTATCTGACAATGGCGCTCTTTTCCTCCCTTGGTAAGTCAGGGTATTCAGTCTCTCCTGCTGGAGTATTCCAATGCAGAATAACCACTGAACATTTTTCCTAAGCCCAGGCCCTTTCACTCCCCTGCTCTTGGTGCCAGGAGCTCCATGAGCTCAGCATCTGGTATACTGTGTCTTTCTCTTTCTCTCCTCATTCCCAGCTGGGTATCTGGCAGACCCTGTCCTCTGGCCCAGGTCCATAGCGTTGCCCAAGCTTCCTTCTTTGGGTCTTTGTGTCCTCAGGACCTCTAACTCTTTTCTCTCTTGATGCTCTGCCTTCTTGGCCTAGTTTGGTACCCTGTAGCTTTACTCTGTGTCTCCTATAGCTCATAGCTCAGACACGCTACAGGACACGGTGGTACCTCTGCTCAGTACCCACCTCTGCAACAGCTCATGCGTGTACAGCGGAGCACTCACACACCGCATGCTGTGTGCTGGCTACCTGGACGGAAGGGCAGACGCATGCCAGGTGTGGCCGGTAGTGGAGGGAGGAGCGGGAGACCTGCTGGTGGTGGAAGGTGGGAGTAGGGGACTTGCATCAGCTTGGTCCCCTGGTTAGTGCACATGGGTTGGGGAAGCCAGACTCCTTAGGGAGCTTACACTAAGGGCTTGTGGGAAGTGAGACCAGCAGATGACATCAGGAGGAAGGAGCCTCTCTCTCTCTACCAGGAGAGTCCATTCCCTGTGGTGGACTGGTACTGCTCTACCAGATGGGTCTGAGTGTTGTTTCTCTGTGTCTGCTCATTTGGATTCCTCAGGGGGACAGCGGGGGACCCCTTGTGTGTCCCAGTGGTGACGTGTGGCACCTTGTAGGGGTGGTCAGTTGGGGTCGTGGCTGTGCAGAGCCTAATCACCCAGGTGTCTATGCCAAGGTAGCGGAGTTCCTGGACTGGATCCATGACACCGTGCAGGTGAGTGTGGAGAAGGAGAGCGGCCCAAGTTTCCGAAGGACCTGCCCCAGGACACTGGGGACCTTCTGAGGGTTGGACATGGGTCTAGGAATGTTGGCCAGAGTGGGAGGAGAAAGAAAGGATACATAACAAAAACCCACTGGGTTTCTAGCGGTTTAAGCACTAGCCGGGAAGGGTAGACTGAGTCTGTGACCTAGATTTGTCTTTTGGGGGTGACCTATGGCAAGTTCCTACCCTTGGTAAGCCCAGGCTTTCTGGTCATAGCCATCCTGGCTGTGTTTTGTTCTGTTTTTCTCAGCCTTGTTACACAGACGCCTATGTCTCTTGGCTCCCTGGCAGGTCCGCTAGCTACAGGAGAAGCAGCTGCCATCTCTGATGCCGAACTGTGGATCTCCCGTGGATCGTCCCAGACTGAGGGCCAGCAGCTGCAGCACTGGCCTCTCTTCTAAGGCTCTGATTTCTCCTTCCTCTTTCTCACCTGAGCTGAGCGCTTCCGCAGCAGGAAGGAGGCTGGGGCTGGGGTGAGAATGATGAGGAAAGGAAGGGATAAGAGGAGACGCAACAGATGAGATTTCTGGAAGCATCGGGGAAACTGGTCCTCTGCTCTCCCTGGACTCCATTGCATCCATCAGGAGGATGCTGGAGGTGCCCTGCTTTCTCCCAGGGGCCTCAGGAGGGCTAAGTCCAACTCTAGAGGATGTCCTATCTCAAGGGCTCCTGGGCAGATGAGGCCAAGGTTGGACCAACTCAAGTAAAGACATAGAAGTCAGGATCCCCACCCTATCCCACTATTCCTGTTCTGAGCTAACGCTAGTAGCCCTGCATGAGGCAGGAATCTATAAGGCAAGAAAGACGGAGTTGGACTAGGATGCCATTTTTCAAATGACAGTTCTGTGAACTGGTTGAAGGAGTTTTGTTATTAAATGGAAATTATATATAATCTTGGTCAAGCCCCCTCCCCCCCTTGTATTAACTACTTTTGTCACTGCTGTGACGAAATACATGACCAAAGGAATTTATTTACTTATTTATTTATTTTGGTTTTTCAAGACAGGGTTTCTCTGTAGCTTTGGAGCCTGTCCTGGAACTAGCTGTTGTAGACCAGGCTGGCCTCGAACTCACAGAGATCCACCTGCCTCTGCTTCCTGAATGCTGGGATTAAAGGCGTGCGACACCACCGCCCGGCCCAAAGGAGTTTATTTTGGCTCAGAGACAAAAGATGCACCCGCCTGGCCCAAAGGAGTTTATTTTGGCTCAGAGACAAAAGATGCGGTCCACTGTGCAGAGGAGGGTCCTAGAGTGGCTGGGAGCAGGGAGAGATGACGTCGGTGTTTTCGTCTTGGACCTCAGCTTGTGGCTTAGTACCACTCACAGTCATGGCAGGACTCAGTCACGCCTCTCTGGAAACTCCCTACCTCACAGACGTGCATAGAGGTGTGTTTCCCAGGCAATTCCAAATCCAGAATACTCGACGGTGAAGATTAACCGACACACTGTCATGCGTGTTTCTGAGCAGAAGTGCAGTTTTCCCTGTACGTGTTTCTTGGAACGTAGATACTGACCCCAGCTCGTCAACTCCAGAATTTGGCAGGTCCCTAATTATTAGATTATTTAAGTTAGTTAAACCTCTATGTCACCATCTGCAGCAAAAAAAAAGACCAACTGTCTAGGGGCTCTGAGACTTTGAGCACCACTGAGGTCAGTGCGCTTAGGGAAGGCTGTTCTCGCCACAGGGTTCAGGTTTTCCCCTTAGCTCTTTTTTGGGGGAACTGAACCTTTCAGCTTGGGGGATTTCTTCCTGAGTTTATCCCCAGTTAGCATTTCCCCTGTGAAGCTTCCCTCCTATACTCTCTGGTCTCTAGCAATTAAAATGCAATGGCTATCTTGTTTCCAAAAAATCTCAATGAATTTTTTATGGTGCTTACCCGAGGAAATACAATTAGCATTAAGCAATAACGAGAACTTTGTGAGTTTATCAGCATATTTGTTGAGGGTTTATCCAAGTGATTATTCTTCCCGGAGGGTCTGCCTTAGCTTTTTACATGCAGTGCACTGAGACACAAAGGCCTCAATTTACTCTTGGCTTCATTACCTGTAGAAAAAGTTGCTGAGAGTCAGCTGTCACATTGGCAGTACACAGAAAGTTCTGGTGGGTGGCAAAGTGCCTCCAGCCTCCAAACTGAGCCCAGTGTTTTCTACTTGGCTCCTCCCCAAAGGAGGCAGGGGGGGGGGCAGCAGGTCCTCCTGGGAAGGAAGAGTGAAAAGCAAATCCGCAAGCTATGATCATTTTCATATTTCCTAAGATGGCCATAGACATTTGGTTAAAGGGAAATGCTTATCACTATCATTATAGCCCCCACGGCCTTCCAATTACCAGGGACATGTGAGCAGTACTTGGCGGTTTAGAAAGCCTACTGATGTGGGATCTCACAGCATCCACGTGGTAGAGATATTACTTTATCCACCCGATTCTGCAGACAAGAAGGCTCGCTCAGAAAGATGTCGTGGCTCCTGCAAGGCCACCTAGTTCCTGAGCACTAGAGAAGTAGGGTGTGAACTTGGGGGGTCCCTTTACCACCAACCCACATTCTTATCTTGCACATGGATGAAGGAAATGATTTAATACTGTACTGAAATATTAAACTGGAAGATACTTTATCAGATCACCTGGCCTAGTCATCTGCCTTCTTACAAGGGCCTGTAGAATCCTGGAGGCCAGCAAGACGGATCAAAGGGAAAGGGCCCTTAAGACTGAGCTTCATGGCCTGAGCTTTATCCTTGGGAGACATGTAGTGGAAGGAGAGAACCGATTCCCCTAAATTATCCACTCGCTAACTTCCACATGTACACCATGGCACCTGTAAGTAAACGTAATTTAAAAAGATTTATGATGATGAGGATGACGATGACGATGATGATGATTGATGTGTGTGTGTGTGTGTGTGTATGCGTGTGTGTATGCGTGCATGCGTGTGTGCCTGCCTGCCTGCCTACAGATACTAGAGGACATTGAATCCTTTGGAGCTGGAGTTACAAGTATTTCTGAGCTGCCTGATGTTGGTAAATGCCTGTCATGCAAGCTTGAGGACCCTGGTTCAATCCCCACCACCCTTTGAGTGAGGTGGCTCATGCCGTCCTAGGAGTAGAGACTGGCTCCCTGGGGCTTGTTGATAAGCCAGTCTGGCTTAACCAGTGGACTCCAGGTGCAGGAAGAGCCCTTGTTTAAGGTGGCGGGGAAGAGACAGAAATTTTTAATAAATAAATAAATAAATAGGAAAAAAAAAAACCAAGCTGAAGCAAGACCGAGAACATCTGATGTCAGTCTCTGGTCTCCATCTGCACACGTGAACAATTATACATGCCCGTGTGTGTACACACGAGCACATGAAAACCTCTTGCCAGAGACCATTGGAGCCCCTGAGTTCAAGGCCTGCCTTAAACCTTAAAAAATGGCCATCTCGCCCAGGAAAACTGAAGAACACACTATGGACAGAGCTTGTGTGAGACCCAGCTTATGAATAGAAACTCTGGTGGCCTTTGCCAGACTGTGGGCCCCATCTATGGATCCGGAAGCTTCTATCCTCCTTTGTCAGCATCTGCTATGCCAGTTCTTGGGGAAGAAAGAGAAGTGAGCAGCCTGGGCCAACTCTGGTCCCTTGGGTCCCCTGTGCTAGCGTGCAGGTGGAGGTGGCTGCAAGGAAGGGAGACTCAAGTCCAGAGAGGGAGGAATGAGGACCATCTGGGAGGCCAGCTGTGCTGAGTTCTGGAGGGAATTCAGAGGTAGGGAAGCCAACTTTCTTTTTGGAGCATTGTGACTTACTTGCAGTAAATTATTACTGACCAACCAGAAACGGGGCTGAATGGGGAGAATGTAATTGCTGAGCGAACACAAAGGGCTTATTGTTGAGTAAGTGAGGAACCAGTGCTCTCCTCCCCAGGGATTAGCTTCCTGCATAGGCAGAACATTGGAGCCTCCTGAGACTTCTTAAGAAAGTGGGTCCTGGCCACCTAGATAGGGAGGAGTTCTTCCACCTACTTCTTCATGTTTAGTGGGCTTTCTAGGATCTCTCTCTTTGGTTCTTGCTTTTCCAGACTGGTTACTGGGAACAGTGGAGGAGTTCTGTTCTTCTCCAGGGACATTTGTGGGCCCTTCCCTGCCTCTTCTTTTTGGAAGTGCTGGGCTTGTCTGCAGTGGAAGAGAAGTGGAAATAAAACCCTGGGGCATAGCTGCCAGGAAGCAGGACTCCCCCCCCCCCCCCATCCTTTGCTTGATTTTCTCCCCTCTGCCCTCTGTTGCCATGTGCTTACGACCTCCTTATAATTTCATGGCTGCCCATCTTCTGCTTTCTCCAGTGTCTCAGCAGCCTAGGGCTACTGCTCTGTCAGGTGCAGCAAAGAGGGCTGACTGGGCCCCACTCTCAGGTCTCTGCTTCCTTCTACACGGACCAGAGCTACCGAATCTTAAATCCATCCATCATCTGGCATCTCCTGGGGAAGTGGAGAGGGGAAAGCTTTCCGTCCTTGGGGGCTGAGGATGGGTTTTCCTGCACACCCCAAGTCTGCGAAAGGGAGAGGAGGAGCAAGCAGGCATTGGCTTGGGATTCACCACGGCTGGAGAACTCTGGAAGATCTGTAGGTTTTTGGTGCTGGAGTGGGATAAACAAGAGGACCAAAGGAATGGGGGGAGGGGTAAGGAGAGAGTAAGGGAGAAAGAGAGGGAAAGGGAGAGAGAAATCCCTCCCAAACAGGATACGGCACCAGCATGGTGGAAATGTCACCCTGTGCTTGCCTTTTGAGCTCTCTCCCTTTTTAGAAAGCACCTGCCCATGCTACTAGGAAACAGTAATCCTACTGGAGTTAGATCTGGGTTTCTAACCACATGGCAATGCGCTGACTGGAACTAACGATTTGGTCTCCCTAGATTTTGGTCTCTCCCTGTCAACTTAGTGATCTGAGCGAGATGGTCTTCATGGATTGCCCTTGTCACAGTAACTCAAACCTCCCTTGTCTTTTGGGCTAATTGCTCTTAGCATCTTCCTTGGATCACCTTTGAATTGAGTCTGTTCCTCAGTCAGATCCAAGGAAATTAGCTTGCTTATGGCTTGACAGCATCTCAAGACTTCAGACCTTAGGTCTGTGGGACCAGAAGGCACAAGACAAATGACTGTAAATCTCCCCCATCCCACAACCCTTTCCCACCCTCTATCATGTACCCCAATGCAAAGCATGCAAGGATAGGTGAGACCTTTGACCTGATTCTTAATGCAGGCACTCCCCAGATCACTCCAGGATACTCCAAGGGTTCTAGGACCTTCAAAGACAGATGAATGATCTTTGTGTATAAAGACCACAGATTCTTTCCTTCTCCCCACTTCTGTTAGTCCGGCGGTGAGGAGAAGGAGGAAGGTTGTGTCCCCTGTAGGAACCAGACAGACCTCTTCCCCTGTCTTCTAGAGATAATCAGAGGGGAGGAAGGAGAGGCTGCCAGACTGCTGAAGCCCACAGGGACTTTTGTGGGGTTTGTTTTTCTCAGCACTGTCTGCAGAGGTGAGGACATGAATAAAAGAACGAGCAAAGATTTACCGTTCTTACATCTTGGCAGTGAGTCTTGTATTTGTACAACACAGCCAGAGAGGAGGGGTGGGCACAGATAAGAGGGGGAGTTGGCCTTCAGGAAGAGAGTCGGGCCCTGCGCAGTGTGTCTGTGGAGACTTGGAGGTAGTGCAGGTGTTAGAGGAGGTGTGTTTAGGCCAGCTTTCCCGCTGCGCTACCCAGACTGCCTACAAAGGAGGTGGGGCAGTGAGAGGGGCATCAGCAAGCCACTGGGTCTGGTTCTCTATAATTAACCCAGTAGAATATAGTGGGCTAGCAGTGTGTTGCCAATGGAGACCCCAAAAGAAATGATGCTGGACTGGGACTGTCACTCAAGGTCCTCATAAGAGACATGCTTTAGGAATAATTTTGTTGTTATTGTTTTTGTTTGTTTTTGAGACAAAGTCCTGCTAAGTAGCTCAGGTTACTCCTAAATGGAAGGTCCTCCTGTCTCAGTCTCCCAAGTGCTGGAATTACAGTTGTGAGTAACTACACCAAGTCAGGCATGACTCTTAACTTGGCCTGGCCTGGGAATGGGAATTATAATCTTTCAGCTGACTATGCTATTTCATACAGTCCAGTGTCAGCTCATGTGTGGTCAAGGCTAGTATAAAAAAACACATTCTGGTGACATCTCACTTGTTCTTAGGTTATCAGAAAATGGGCTTCATTTTTGTACAAATGTAATCCTAATAAGTCAAAGCTGGCCCTGCTAGATGATTTTATTCATGTTCTGTGTCTGTGTGTGTGCATGTGCATGCAAGTGTGTTGTGAATAACTTGATGGGACTAAAGAAAGCTCCTTAAAGATGGTTCAATCATTAAGAGTCCTTCCAGAGGAACTGGGTTCAATTCCCAGAACCCACATGGCAGCTAACAGTTGTCTGTAACTCTGTACTTCAATTACGGAGGGTTCAGCACTCTCTTCTGGACCCCTTTGGGTACTCCACACACATAGTATATGTAGTCAAAATAACTATACACATATAATTAAAAAAGAAAAGAAAAGAAAGTGAGGAGAAGAGCAGAAGTTTGAGGAGGGAGGTGGCAGGGGTAAGACCATAGGTTTCTCCCTTGCAATAGAGGTGTGCATCTATGGGGCCCCTCCTTACATTGCCTTCAGCTGGAATTATGTGACTGACATCAAGTGTCTCAAGATGTATAATTTATTAGGCCTGGTCAAGAGGATGGATGGAGGCACACTGACCACATGCCTAAACAACTGAAAGTAATATGTCAAGTTAACATGTTTTTGAGTTCAAATATTTTGCCCTCTTACCAGAGCAAATGTACCCTTATAAGGATATGGGAAGCTGGGTTCAAATTTCAAGTTCTTGAGTCCTTGGCTTTCTACCATGGAGATGGTACATGCAGATGCTGTCTGGAGGCTGACTTCTCTCTCCAACCCTGCATCAACCTTTCTTACAAAGGGCCTCTGTATGGTACCCCATGCTGCTTGGGTGCAGGTCCACTGGTTATTTCTTCCTTGGAAGATCCCTGTGCAGCTTTAGTAAACAGACTCAGGACCATCTGAATCCTAAGGCTGGCCATAAACCTGGGTTCTGGATAGTCACATGATAGCAACCCTGTGGTCTGATCCCTTAGAGAGGGTATAAAACCAGTGAAGGATTAGGATGGCAGGTCCAGGAAGAAACTGAGGCCAGTGTAGATCTTCTGGTTCAAGCTTTAAGGAGGCATTGTTTTCAGGGCCACCCAGCCACTTGGCCCTGCAGGTCAGAGACCCCTGTGCAGGGAACCGCTCGAGGTAGGGCTTACTCCTCTCTGCTCTGCAGAGGTTGATAGGGGCTCCTGCCCAAAGAACAAGACCTTTCCTGTAGCTCCCAGTCCCCTAACATACCATAAAGCATCCTTTATTCCAGGGAGCTGCATTTCCACATGAGCCCCAGCCTCTTGACAGTCCCTGGATTCATCTTCAGTGGAAAAATACCCAGAGTGGTTCATTATGATCTCCACTCACATGGCCGCCCAGAATTCAAATGAGATAAACACGGAGGAAAACTCCAGTGTGCAAATGGCTTGCACTCCAAACTCTCACAGAGCAGACTTCAACAGATGCTCGGTGAACGAAAGCTAATTAGGAAAAAACGGACATGTGGGGTCAAGGAAGGGGTTGGGATGCGAAGCCACATGCATTTTGAAGAAGTCTAGGTTAGGCCAAGTCACCCAAGGGACGCTCACAAAAGCAGAGAAAATATGAGAGTCAGCCTGGGTCACGTGGGTTGTGGAGCCTGTCACTCATGCACTAGATGCTCCATGGGTGTAGGGGGATGGGGAGTGCTGGGGAGGAGGAGAGAGAGGTGCCGGTGAGGGAGTCTGAATGCTTGTGTTTCAGCATGGACTCCGTTGCTTGTTAACCAGCCCCACGAAATCCTTAGACTGTGCTGTGGTTCTTAGTTCTCCTCTATATAATGGGACTAAAAGCACATGCCTTGCCTAACTTACAGAGAAGATAGGAAAACAAGCCCATTTCGGGTTATTATAGCAGTTTAGATGAGGTTTATAAATAAAACTTATAAATAAAAGCAATTTCTTTGACTCATGGTGATGTCACTGGGAAGTCCAAAACCTTGGGACAAATTTGTCTTTTTTTCTCCCCTCTCTCCTAAAGACAGGGTCTCCTGTAGCCTAGGATGGTCTCAAACTTGTTATCTATCTAGTTAAGGGTGACCTTGAACTCCCGATTCTCCTACCCCATCTTTTGAGGGCTGGGATTACAGGGATACTCTACCATGCCTGGCTTAGGTCATACTGAGGTTCAATCCTGAGGTCTCCTGAGGAGACATTTCTAGGGGACAGTTCTGGCAAGACGGTTCTTGCTGTGTCAACCGCTGACAGAGCTTGGGAGGCCACTGAGTGTGACACCGAGATGGAACATACAGTCACAACTTTTTTCCCTGGTGGACTTTCATCCATTTGTGAGGAAGGACCCTTCAGGACTAAACTCCCCCTTAACACTGTTCATTGAGGATTAAGTTTGGCACACATACTTTTGCGGGGGGCATCGAAACTATACAAAGAACAAAGTCAAAGCAACGAGAAAGGTTTAGAAGTAGAGTAAAGCTGGGCAAATGTAAACTATGATTATGTCCAGCCTCTACTAGAACACTGCCAGGCGCCTTATTTATCCTGGAACACTCACTCCATTTGTTCAATGTGTCTATCCTGAGTGGCACACCCACCTAAGCCTTGAGCACCAGAAGAAATAAAGTAGCGCTGGTGTAGGGAGGGCAGAGGGAGAAAGAGATGGAATGAATGATGTATGGCAACATTTATGCAGGAAAACATCACAGTAAAACCTGCTACTTGGCATGCTAGCTTAAAAATTAATTAAAAAAAAAAACTAGCTCAGTCACCAGACAACAGAGAGTTGCACAACTGTCAAAGTCCTGAGAAAAAGAGGCTGAGTGCCCAGCCCTACACAGAACATGTGTACCAATTCCCT